AGGTAAAATCACGCCCTCCCCCCGCCCTGAGGTAAAACCCCCCTGCCTGAGGTAATCCCCTCCCGCCCTCCCGCCCTGAGGTAAAACCCGCCCCTCCCCCTCACACTGAGGGGTGTGAGGCACCAGTGTCCCGTGAGGGGCATAGGAGGCAGCTGCTAGATCCCCCACTCAGTTGCCCCCCTGGTTCTGCCACTAGATTGGGGCTGCCCCATGGTTGTTGGCACTCCAGACGGGGGCTCCTGTCACCCCCTGGCAACGTCCTGAGTATGGGCTCCTTCAGGCCATGACACCTGGGGCTCGGGGTGGGCAGGGGGAGTCTGATGGCATTAGCGGTCATAAATGGTCAGGAGCATGCACTGCCTGCACTTGGAACCCAGAGTTCACAGGTAGCCCCTCAATGAATGGGCGCGAGGTTGTGTTGTTGCAGCACCGAGCTGTGTAGCAGGAAGGGATCTTTGCCTGAAGAAAAGCCCGGAGGGCAAAGGTGGGGGGATGTCACGTCTCTGCAAGGTGAGGAATGTAAAAATAAAAGAAAGAAACCAGAGAGAAATCTTACTTGCAGCCTTGTCACGTCTTTCTTACATAAAACATTCAAGCCCATCCTCCTCGTAAAGCTGCTTTTTAACTGAATATTGCCCATGGCCAAATCTCCGCTCTGTTTTTTCCTTTAGTCATTGCCTACACCCTTCTTGGCTGGGCCATTTGACTGATACTCCTCCTCTCCACGATCTGTCTTTCTGGATTTGTGCTGTGTTTACTTCAGTTTGTGCCAGCTCTGATATAACTGAACGTTTTTGTGTCTGCCACATGGGTGCAGGTTTGTATCCCATGCGCTGTCTCTCTTCCGCCTTCAATTCTGCTTAAAACTTCCCTCTTTAGTCCCTGCCCTTGATATCAGTTTTCACTCCCCCTCATTTTCCCACTACCCTGTATCATCTTGCTTAGACCATAATGCCTTTTGAGACCAGAAATACTTTATCTTCTGTAGCGTGCTGTGTAAAAGTTTTGGTTCCTTTCTCAAGGAAGTTGCCCATCCTGTATCTGAGTTTCCGTGCATCTGTTTCTCCCTGAAGAAGGCTATGTACGTTTCAGGACTGCCACGTTTCTTTGGTACACCTTCAACTGCTAAAGTACACCCTATGAAATGTGATGGGGAAGGGGAAAGGAGACTCCTGTCATGGACTAGGTTATCTCAAAGTCTTCCAGGCTGCAGAGACAGCAGGAGTAAGCATTTGCAAGCAGCTTCAATAGCAATTCTGTGCTGTCAGGAAGCAACATTTGGTCACATTTGAGAGCAGATTTGTGTCACTAAATCTCTAGGGGCACATCCCCTGGAGTGGGAATCTGCGTTCCCCAGGGTCAAATATCAGTGGCACAGGGGTGGCTGGCACCCC